CCGGCCGTGTTGCAGTTACTCCAGGACGCGGTGAAACGGAAAAAGGGGTTCAGTTTTTTGGGGCGCGGTGTTTAGCTGGATTTCCGTGCCGAGTGTGCCCTTCGCGCTCGGGGTGGTGGTGGCATGAAACGCAGTGTTGTCTACCAGCGCCGCGTCCTGAAATCTGGGCTGCTTGTCTTTGTTTTCTGGCAGGACCCGCAGTGGTCAGACCACGCGCGGGGGGAATGTAACTATCAGATGAACAACGCTGACGTGTATTTGTTCAGTGAGTTCATTGGTGCGCGCTTGGAGGTGCAGCTGCTCGCTGTGTGGTTGGCGCGGTTGTGGTTCAACTGCGACGGCGGGGTCGGGCGCGCGCAGACGATATATCGCGAGGAGTCGGGCGGCGACGTGGCGGAGGGTCGCGGCTTGGATGTCGTTGCCTTTCAGCGCGCGTCTAAACAGTGCGCAGTGGCGCAGGCGTGCCCGCGGTACCAATGCCATCTGTTCACAGCAGAGGCGAAGCGTCTGGGCGCGCGCTTGGGCAAGGAGGCCGACGGCGAGGGCCAGTTGCGCATGCTGGGTCAGATGCTGGACTCGCTATTGCGCTCTCGTGCTTTCTCGCGCGCTGCCAGGGCGCTGGAGGCAAGGTACCTACTACTAGTATTTACTATTAGTACCTACTACTAGTACCTACCGCTCGTACCTGCTACTAGTACCTACTACTAGTACCTACCACTACAAGTACTTACTACTAGTAGTACCTACTACTAGTACCTACTACTAGTACCTACTACTAGTACCTACTACTAGTACCTACTAGTAGTAGTACCTACCACTAGTACCTGCTACTAGTACCTAGTACTACTAGTAGTACCTACTACTAGTAGTACCTACTCCTAGTATCTACTACTGGTACCTACGACTAGCACTTACTATTGCTAGTCCCTACTACTAGTAGTACCTACTACTAGTACTTACGACTTGTACCTACTAGTAGTACCTACTACTAGTACCTACTACTAGTACCGGCTACTCGTACCTACTACTAATACCTACTATTCGTACTTACTACTAGTACCTACTACTAGTACCTGCTACTGGTACCTACTACGAGTACCTACTAGTACCCACTACTAGTACCTACTACTAGTACCTACTACTAGTGCCTACTATTAGTACCACTTGTACTAGTACCTACTACTAGTACTACTGCTACTAGTACCTACTACTAATACCTACTACTAGTACCTACTACTAGTACCTACTACTAGTAGTACCTACTACTAGTGCCTACTACTAATGCCTACTATTTGTACTACTGCTACTACTATTACTATTACTATTACTACTACTACTACTACTACTTCTACTACGACTACTACTACTGCTACTGCGACTGCTACTTCTACATCCACTACTATTGTACTTCTTCTTCTGTCACTTTTTTATTGCCGCTGCGATTACCAGTGCTAGGGCTGCGGCAGTGTCTGATTTTTATCGTGTTTGTGGTTGGCCTCATGAGGCCGGCAAATCGTTCGACGCCGTGCTGGGCGGGAAGCTCCTGATCCATGTTCCGTTCTGTCCGCAAGGCTGTTCAGGAGTCCTGTGACCAGACAGAGGGCCTCAACGTGTACTACGTGCACAAGCTCAAGTTCTGGGACTCCGACGTCATCAAGTTCGCATGCGTCAACATGCGCATGGACGTGTTCCTGGGGCGCGCCTTCAGGGCCGGCCAGCCGCCCCGCGCGCCCGCGCCTGGCGCTGCCGCTGCCCCCGAGATCAGCGTTTGCGACCTGGTTCACGCGATGCGCGCATGGGGGCGGCAGATTCTCTTGACAAGACCTTCTACTACGCGGTGGCGCCGACTCCCGTGGTGGTCGGGCGCCAACAGAGTGGGCCGACGAAGTGTGACCCGTCGTTGACCACGGAGGACCTCTGCGCGAAGCTCATCTTGTCCCGCCGCATGTGCGTTGGCGTGGTGAACACCGCAGACATGCGCCTGTGGGTTCGCAATGGCCTCGACGCGCGCGGGATCAAGGACGTGGCGGTCGTGATCGCCGCAGCGATTCGCCGCGCAGCTGACGCAAGCTTGGTCGAGATCGAGGAAGCCCGCGGTCGTAAGAGGCCCGCGCCAGATGGCGACGAGGAGGCGCCAGGCCCGAAAGGCCCGAAGGGGAGAGCAGTTTTGAACGTCAAAAAGCGTTCATGGGCAGAGATCCAGGAGAAGCCAGCGGCGAGAGAGCTGGCAGCCACCTTGAGCTTGAGCGCCGATTTCTTCCAGGGGTAGGCGGCCGCGGAGCAGGGCGGGCTGCCCTTGGCCGCGGGCCGCGTCGCCAGCGCCATTTTTCATGCGTTTCGCGCTGCGACCTGCGGGGCAGGGCGCGGCGCGCTGTCGCGGCTGACGTGTCCTCCCTCTGCCTTCTACCTACTTGAATGCCATGCGTTTTTCGCTTTTGCCCCTGGTCCCTTCTCTCCGTTTCGTCGTGGCAGCAGAATTTGGCATTTTACCTGTCAGTTCGACATTTGCCGGCGCAGATGCTGTTTGGGTAATCCGCAGCAGCCGCCGCGCGTTGTCATGCTGTGCCCGATCTCCTCTTCTTCTGCCAGGCGCTCATGTTTGCAGGGCGCCTCGATTGTCTTTCCTTGCGAGTTAACCCCCGTAGCGCTCAACGCGCGAAGGAAAACGCGCAGTCGGTCGCGATGGCAGCGGCTACGTCTGCGTTTGAAGCAGAGGGCATCCAGGCCAATCGTCTGCCCATGTCTTGGCTCGTACTTCCAGGGCAAGCTTCAAGACTAGGCCAAAACACAGAGGGAAATCCCGTGCGCCACCCCTGAACTGCCTAAACACGTGGTGTTTTCGCGCATTCAGTTGAATCGTTCAGACTTGCGCTGGCAAGCGCGAAGACAACCGCGGTCGCGCAGGGAAGAAAACGTAGAAACAGACCCATGGTTTTCAGAAGGCAGGGGGGTTACGCACGGGGAACCATCGTGCATTTTGTCGCCCTGCCATCCCGCCTTTCTCACCCAACGCGCAGTCGGTCGCGATGGCAGCGGCTGCGTCTGCCGTTGAAGCAGAGGGCATCCAGGCCAATCGTCTGCCCATGTCTCGGCTCGCACTTCCATGGCAAGCTTCAAGATTAGGCCAACATGCCCAGGGAAATCCCGTGCGTCGCCCCTGAACTGCGCTAAACACGTGGTGTTTTCACGCATTCTGTTGAATCGTTCAGGCCTGCGCTGGCAAGCGCGAAGACAACCGCGGTCGCTCAGGGAAGAAAGCGTAGAAAACAACAATGGGTTTTCAGAAGGCAGGGGGGTTACGCACGGGGAACCATCGTGCATTTTGTCGCCCTGCCATCCCGCCTTTCTTACCCAACGCGCAGTCGGTCGCGATGACAGCGGCTGCGTCTGCGTTTGAAGCAGAGGGCATCCAGACCAATCGTCTGCCCATGTCTTGGCTCGTACTTCCAGGGCAAGCTTCAAGATTAGGCCAAAACACCAAGGGGCATCCCGTGCGTCACCCCTGAACTGCGCCAAACACGTGGTGTTTTCACGCATTCAGTTGAATCGTTCAGACTTGCGCTGGCAAGCGCGAAGACAACCGCGGTCGCTCAGGGAAGAAAACGTAGAAACAGACCCATGGTTTTCAGAAGGCAGGGGGGTTACGCACGGGGAAGCATGGTGCATTTTGACGCCCTGACACCCCGCCTTTCTCACCCTCTTCCGTGCCGCCGCGCTTTGGCTCGAAAGGCGTTTTGGGGGGGCTCGCGCCTGTCTCGCCTGGCATGGAGGCCGACGCCCGCCTTCCATGGCGGACCTTTACGATTCACGACCCCCAGATGGAATTAGCAATGCTACGAGGCATCAAGCCCGTGGAGACCCGGCCTTTCGCGTGGCTGAGACCTGGGTGGTACAATCTGCGCGTCGGCAAGGATTCGATTGCAAAGTACCCCGCGTGCCAAGAGGCCTTGGCCAGAACTCGGCCATTGCGGGCCAGGTGCACTTGGCCAAGAAAGTGCTTCTGGATTCCGTGACGCACCACTGGGCCATACCTGCAGCAGGGCCTTGGTGCTACGTCATCGACGCCGCGCGCGAGTTCAGCTGCCCCGTCGCGAGTCTGAAGGGCGGCCAAGGCCTGTGGTGCATCAGGGACCGGGCAGTCCAGGAGCTCGTGTCCACCGCAGTTGATAGTGCGCAGGTCAGGCGATTCCCCGATGTTTGGCGCACCGTGGGCGCGACGTGCGCCAGCGCGTCGGCGGGGCCAGTTGAACGCTCCGCGCAGCCGCCTGCGGAGCCTGCGCCGCCGGGGGCCCAGTCAGGGATCGCCCTCAGCGAGAGCCGACGGGAGAGCCGGAGTCACGCTCGCGCTTCCATGCCGCGGTGGCCCCTCCAATTCGCTCGCAAGGTTCGGGCGGACGTCGGAGTTCGGAAGCGAGCGCTGGATCCCGCCGCCCGGCCGCCTCGCGGCATGGTCAGGCGCAACGTCCTCCGATCGGCTGCAACGGCCAAAAAGAGGACAGCGAAACTCCGCGCGGAGGAGTTTGCGGCGCCAGCGAACTCGCCCGCCACCCTGCAGCAGCGAGCTCCTGGCCAGGATTGTCGCAGCGTGGCCGCGCTAGGACACAGGGCGCAACGCGTGGCGGCGGGCCGCGCTCTGCCGCGACTGCTACCTAGTTGCCTTCGGCATATCCCGCCACCGTGCCTGGCTGGCGTGTCAGAGGCATCCTGGACGTTGCCACTTTAGGGCCACCTCGTGGCCACCTCGTCTTAGGCCCAAAAAGTCAGAGATCTTTGAATTCCTGAAGGAATGAGCCTGGGGCCCAGTGCCTGGGGACCTGAAGGCGCGCCTACTTCATTCCGCAGGGCGCGGCGGCGGAGATTTGATGCGCATGAGCTTGCTCCACCGGCCAGAACGCTTCGTGGATGGCGATCATGGGCTGCCCCCCCAGGGCGGGCTGTTCGGGTGCATCGCCGGCGACCCGGCGTTCATCGTGGGGGCTTTTTCTCGCCGCGGCGCGCCGATGGCCGACGTCGTCCGGCTGCGTCGCAGAGCCCGGCAGCACGTTCCCTTGCGGCCTTTGCGCGCGACCTGGTTTGCCCAGTACAAGGACCTTTGCACGGTGAAGCAGAGTGACATTCTCAACGTCGGGGTGCATTTCCAGGCAGCGTCGCGCAGCGGCGGCCAGCGGTCGAGCCTCCACTTCACGCCCTTGCGT